ATATCTCCAGGCAGTGGTGTAAGCTCAGGGAAGTGTGGCTGGAAAGTTGCCTGGCAGAAAAGGACTTGAAGGTGCTGGTCGACAGCCAACTGAACATAAGCCAGCAGTGTGCCCAGAGGGCCAAGAAGGTCAATGGCATCCTGGCCTGCATCAGAAATAGCATGGTCAAAAGGCCAAGGGAAGTGATCGTCCCCCTATATGTGGCACTGATGATGCCACATCTTGAGTACTGTACTCAGTTTTGAGCCCCTCAGTACAAGAAAGATATTGAGTTACTGAAACGTGCACAGAAGAGCAGACGATGCTGGCAAAGGGACCAAGCCAGGTGAGAAGCAGCTGAGAGAATTGGGCTTATTCAGTCTGGAGAAGAGGAGGATGAGTGGAGACCACATCACCTTCTTACAACTACGCGAAAGGAGGCTACACTGAGGTGATTGTTGGCCTCTTTACTCGAGGGAATGTGTGGCACCAGGAGAGGTTTCAACTGGATATCAGGACGAATTCATTAGCGGAGAGGGTGGTCAACCTTTGGAACAGGCTGTCCAGGGAGGCAGTGGAGTTGCCATCCCTGGAGATACTTAACAGACGTGCGGATGTAGCAGCTGGGGACATGGCTTATTGGTGGACTTGCAGTGTTAGGTTGCTGACTGGACTTGATGATCTTGAATATCTTTTCTAACTTTAATGATTCTCTGATTTTATTATAGACGTGTAATGCTCTCCTTTCAGCCACTCACCTTCAGTTCTATTTCAGAACATTACTTTAGAGCCTTGTAGTAGGGCAGTCATTTGAAAAGGGAAAGTGAGAGCATGAGGAGCTGAAGAGGGTCAAGTACAGCAGGCTTCTTATAGGATTTGAGCAAAAGAGCACAGTTTATATAACCTCAGCAGTGATTATCTGATATGAGCTGCTAGGGGCATTTGCAGAAGCAGAAGTCTAAGCAATTAGATAACTTCCAAGTTAAATGTGAAGGCATACGGTGACCTGAGATGGTCCCAGTGTTAAGCACACACACAAAAATGTGCCTCTGTTTATTTGCCTCAAATATGTCTATGATCTTTACTGGATCAAGTCCAGGGAGAAGTGCTGTAAAACACATATTCTGCTTCTGACCACATTCACAATGCAAACACTGCTCACAGCTCTTAGTACTGTTATTGGCTATGTAGTGTTATTACAGATACCAGAACAGATCCCGAATATAATGTAAGAAAAATCCTTAAAATTTACATTGAAACTAGATTTAATGTATAAGTTTGACTACACTGTGTCTAACTCTTACATTATATCCAGTTATCCATTATATTTTCTTAAATAAAAACTGGCACTGGTATATAACTTTGTCACTTTCATTAACATCAATCAGTGTAGATCAGCCAGTTTGCTATTTTTATGTATAAAAATAGAATAACCTTCCAACTCAGCAAATGGTTTTCTTTGCTCTACCATATAACTTCACTGCTGTTAAATAAGAGAAGGCACTACTCACTTCCTTCCTCAAATATTTTTCTGCACTGATGTATCTGTAAATTACTTTATAATTCCCCATTTCCTTTGTTAGCACAAAGTAATTAAACTAATCCATCCTCTGTAAACCTCAGTTGACTCGGTGTCCTTTATTGTCATTGCATCCTTTTTTTTTTTTTTTTTTTGTTTTTTTTTTTTTTTTTTTTTTTGGTATTTTTTCTTAACTTCTAATCCTCAAATCTACATCTGAAACTTTGTTTTCCACACCAGTTCTCAGTCATCCTTTGGCTGCTGTCTTTTTTGGCTCTTGCAGCCAACTAGCACAGTGATGAAATCTTGGTTCTCATGAAATCAGACTGATAGTCTCCACCTAAATCCATTGTTTACAGAGATGAATTTCAATAGCACTTGTGTACAATCTCCAGTTTCTCATTAAATAAGAAATACTATGATAAGGAAAGGTTTTTCTGCAGGACAACAGAAACAGTCATGGTTTATTAAAGCACTCTGGATGCAGCCTTGCTGCCTCTACAGAAGTCAAAAGGAGGTAAACTTTTTGCATCTTTCCTGAACATGACATCAACCTGCTCTGCACTCAGCCTTTTTCATGTAAATAGACCTTGGACCCTCGCATACTGCTAGCATGTCGTGCTGGGTTCAATTCACTTACTGACCACAACGTTCAGTATCTGCTGTATTACATACGAAGATGCAGAACTAATGGTTTCCTGTTGAGAGTGTGTTAACTTGGTGTGCTCCCATAAACACACTACAAAGTACTCAACATCCCATCTCCTTTGCTCCTCTTCCATTCCTGGCAAAACTGGAGCCCTAAAAAACCCCACCACAACCCTTAAATGTTTTTATAATCCAACAACAGAGCCATCCTACGTTTTGGTTCTGCTCCCAGGACTGTCTGCAGTCTCCGTCTAACCTGGAATGCAGAAATAGTCTAACAGTCAATGACACATAAATGCAATTTTAAAGCATCTACATAGATATTGTTTTGCTGGTATTTGTAAATTCTACATTTGGTGCCATTTCATTAACTAGCAGTTAAAGTCCAGTTAACATTAACTAAAACATTACTTTTCAGCACATGCTCATGACCAATAATGCAAGTGCTCCACTGTTAAAGAACCTTTCCTAAACCTGTCATCTTCCTGATCAGATCCTATACTTATTCACAGATGCGGTAGCAAATGAATTATGTATACTACCTTTACTTTCATCTGTGTAAGTCAAAGTGTATGCTTTTGGTCTTACACTTTGCAAAGTTCCTGTTTTGACAGTATTCCCTGTGATAATTTACAACTCTGTCAATTTCTACGCTTTGCAATTTAGCTACTGTGCTATCTATTCTCGTAGTGGTTTAAAGTGTTTTCTCATCTCTCCCAGATGAAAAATTGTAGTATAAACCTTGGCTGCTGCCAGCAGCAGCACAGTGTAAGCTGAATATTGTACTGGCCTGACATCTACTTGCCATACTCGCACTCTTTTCCACATTTTAGGTTGCTATTGCACCACTTATACACAATAAAAATGCCAGCAAAATCTAAAAACTTTTAAAGAGAATATAAAATTATTACATAGGCAGTGAAGTATAGACTAATCTCCATTTTCTATAGTTATTCCAAAGCTAGAACAAAATACAAAAAACAAAATTTTACCTCACCATTAAACTCTTGGTTCCATTTCAGAGTCCATCTGAAATGTTTCTTTGTCTGAGTGCATGCTTATACATACACCAAAAAGCTGCCACTACACTTTGCATATACAAAAACACGCCTGCATCTTAAAGAACAACAAAAAAATCTCTACTAGAAGCCCTTACTTCCTTTTTAAAGGCTGTCTTTGAAAATTTAACCTGATCTTTTTTTTTTTTTTTTTTTTTTTTTTTTTTCTTTACTTATAAGCAACAGCATCTCTCATAGATGAAGAAATCAGCCATCATCTCTGACAAAAAGAAATTACTGTAGTGGCTGAGCTAAGTGGACAACAAACAGTTTTGCTGCTAGCTCTGCCACTGTGCAAGCTATCCACTCTTCCATTTGCACTATGGGCAAAACATGACAGACCTTACCTGCTGGGTGTTTTGAGATTGACTTACACCTAGCATTTGTCACAGACAACTATCACTTAACACTAGGCAACCAACCAAAACATTTTTTAAGTGTGCCTACCTGCAATGATACAGGCAAGACTGGACACCCTTTCATCTGTTAGATCTAAGGACTTCAAGTGAAGAAATAAAAGTTTGTACCTAATTGTACTTGATGACAGGATAAAGTTGTGTATTATTAACCAGGTAATCAGACTTACTGTTAATAGCTGATATGACTCATTGCATGTCAGTGATTTTTACCTCAAGAAGTAAGCAAATTGGTTGAAATTATTAAAAACCAAAATAAAAGACTGATAGAACAGATCAGCCTAAAACTTTTAAAACCATGTATCTGTAGTCTGTAAGAATTCAGTACCAAAACCCACATTTCTCAAAAAAAAATTCATTTAACTGGGCTCTTCAGAAGGTTCTGTGCAAACCCTCCAAACGTAACTATTAAGGAATCTAATTGGGCATGGAATGAGAATTTAAAGTTATGTGCATGAAGCAAGTCATGAGAATGGTCAGCTTTCAGCCTGCATTAAAAATCAATTGCCCTAAGGATTCGTATTGAAACAGTATTACTTCAGATATTTGTTAATCTGTAAAGAGAGGCACTGCGCTCGCAGCATCTATGGACAATAACAGCACCAGAGTAGAACAGTAAAAGATGAAAGTTGGAAGAATAACTCAAGATAATAGTAAACTGCTCATACACTCCAATGTTTTTTTGGACTGGAATTCACAGGAGAAGGATTAATGAAAATTGCACAAAACCAAAGTACTGCAAACATACAGAAAGCTACAAGAATACTGGACAGACAACAGTTGGAGCAGTATTCAAGAGATGACAACATACAGTTACAGAAGGAGGATATATAAGGTCGAGGATATATAACAGACACTTCATTACTTAATAATATCCATGAGAAGATGAGTAATTTTAACGTAGGTTTTGATTTTGCTCTGATTTATCTAATGCTACCAACATAACAACAATAGGGTAAGATGAACTTCTGAGGTGCAGTACCTTGTAATTCATGTTCCTACAATAGGGAAACACATTGCATCACAAGATCTGATAATTTATTTCAGTTCTGTAGTTTAATGAAGCTACTGTTCTGCACTGCAATTTTCCCATTCTGTATAGGTTGTTTGCACTACAGACTGAATGCAAGCAGATTATATATTTAAAATGTATTTTAATATATTATTAAAAAAATCCAGAAATGCTTATTTTACACAGATCTAACTTGCATAGCAATTCAAATTACTCTATGTTACAAAATGTATTATAATCAACCTAAGCAAATTGTTCAGGTACAATCTGCAGGATGACTCTTATGAAAACAAAGCCAACACCATATAAGTCATCACACACACACAAAAAAACCCATTTTGAACTTGAAGTTACTGCTTCCATATGGCTGTAGGAAAAAATATTTATTCTTAAAATGAAGCATACTCGAACATATTTGTATATTTTCTGTTATGGAGTTCGATTTTCCTTGTTCAGTTCCTCATTGCCAACATGGCATTTATGTCCCAAATGAGATTCCGTAACTGATCCATGATCTGCTTCAGTTGCTGATTCTTCAGTTTCAGTTTCTGTGGGAAGATTTTATGAGAAGATTTTTGTCATCAGTTAAAACAGTACACTCAGGATTTCAAGAAAAGTTAGTGTTATGAAATGCTATATGTATCTTTTTGTCAGCTGTCTGTGAGCAATATTAGATAATACATCTTCTTGAAAGCACACTCTTAAAATACAAGAAACACTCAGAAGTTAAAGACCTTTGTTAGAGAGGAATGCTGTTTCTTTTCACAGCACTCTTTTATCAAAACACTTGATCCCTTCAACAAGAGCAAGCTTGTGGCCATTGGCCCTCTAACCAAAGTCCAAAAGACAGCACTTGATGCAAAGAGAAGGAAGTGAAATTTGAGACCAGAAGAGCTCAGGGAACAGCTAAATTTATGCTAATATGCACTGTACAAGCTGGGTGCTCAGAAAAGCAAGGTATTAAAAGTCAAAGTCTGAAAAACCACAAAGTCAATCAAGCTTTTCTACACCTTCTGCCTACATTGGTCAATTCTGATGAGCTACGTGATGCTGTCCTCCCAAGTATGCTGAATGCTATACAACTGTGTACTTCCTGCAAAAACATCTGAAAGGACAGAAGAGTAGAAAATGCACTTTCATCTGAGGAACCAGAACTTAAAAATTACGTCTACAGAAGATCAGTGCATTAAGCCAATGCAGAATATTCCTAACTGTTCATGTTTCACAGTAATACACATATTTATTATCCAATTTATCCATTTTCCTGCCCAAATCAAAGCTGCCAAGTAATAAGTTAGTGTGTATCGTTAACAACAAGCCCATGCCCTTCATTCCATTCAAATTTGATATAAAGTCAGCCTCATCACATCAGAGATAGAATTCATAAGGGAAGCCCAGATTTCTAAGTAAAGCCAAAGCACAGGAAAGACTTGCTGCCATTCAAAATGTCTCAGGTTTTACATCACTTTGTTTCTTCTGTACTACACAAACAGCAATACATTAAAGGAATAACTCAGCTCAGTAACTAAAGTAATTGTAACAGTGACAAAAAGAAGTAACAAAAGAAGCAGCATACTGAAAATCAGAGCCCTGTCTTTTCAGGTGAACAACAAACCAATGTTTTTTAAGTGTCCAGCTGGTCAGGCTCAGAAAGAAGTCCGGGGGGAAGGAGGGGGGGAAGCCTATTCTTTTCAGACCTGTGAAAAGTCTTAAGAAACATAGTAATAAATTTAGGAGAACACTGTGCTTTGAGAAAGGGAAATATTTCTGAACACATTTCAGTGGACACGTTCCCTGGAAGCAGGGCCCACACTCTGACTCCTTTCTGACACCTCAGAAGAAGGTAAAACAGATGTAGGTTTGGAACTGATTTGGAAATTCTTAGCAAGCATTTGATTGACTAAAAACCATTTTAAGTTACAACGTGCATTTCTCTAATCTTTTTCCATTTGCTAATTGAAAACTGCACTATATAGAGCAAAGATTCCTTTCCAAAAGATAAGAGGGAGAACTGAGAGAAGAATGTAGCTATGACAATAGTTAAATGACATAATTTTGCTTCCCTGCAAAACATAATGACACAAGAATTCGATGCTTTACAGACTCCAAGAGATGAGATAAACAAGCACGTTCATACCTGTGGCATTTAAAAACGCATTTCCATTTCCCACCCTCAACATTTAATCTCAGAGAAATCAAGAAATGTAACATCCAAACAACTAGCTTAATGCAAACTGTCACTCACTGATACTGAGGGCACATCAGTTCATTATTTTCCAAAGCCTTCACCAACAGAAATGAAGGCTGAGCAGTCAGTGATGATTACGTGTTAGACAAAGAAGAACCATTAACCTCTGGTGCTGCAGACTGTTTTCTCTCCATCCCTTTTTAACTGTACTGTTACATGCTTTTCTGTAGATATGCCCGTATGAACTTTGCATAAGTTACATTCAAAAGATTCATTCTATAAGACAATAATTTTCATTTCTTGTGCAACTATTATGAAACAGGATTTTTACGCTAGACAAGTGAACCCCTGAACTGGATTTCATTTGATTTCAAAGCGTCTGTAAAAAGGTGAGTAATATATTTTTTATTATCTCTATCTGAAGATAATTTTAAGTCCTTTTCTTTGGTGTTTTATTTCCTTAGCTCTTCTATTCTACTTCTTGCAGAGTCAGAAAAAACATCTAAGGTGAAGCACCGTCTCTGGATTGCAAGGCTGAGAAAAGAATAAATGGCAAGGGGAAAAGCTCCACTTCAGAGAGCACAGCATCCTAGCTGAAAAGCTAGATCTTTGTTAGCAGTCTATGCAGTGTGGATCATCGTCTGCCACAGCCTGCTAGCAAGGATCATGGCATATAATTAGCATGCCCTTCCTACGCTGGCACTGGCAGTGCTGGTCTCTGTTTAAGGCTCTAACCTTATCCAATGAAGGACATCTCCACTTTGCCGTGGAAGGAGGTGAAATGGCCTTCTTGGGAAACTTACAAGTTCTGAAAGAAGCTTCTGCACTGCTGACAAATTTTCATTTGAACAGATTGCTCGCAAAGTTGTCTCCCACTCTTTCCTCCTTCTCCTGAAATGACTTAGTTGATCTCTGGACTGTTTCTCAGGATTAATGGTTGTATGAAACAAGAAGAGGCACTTCATCCTACGTAAATGCTACAGGTTCTGCCTTTATCTGTTTTAAGACAGCACATAACAATTATCTTATTTGAGGTAGTTTGTAACTTAGGCACATTCACCTTATATCTGACAGGCATGTTTCTGCTGTTCACCTACTAGAAAGGTGATCTGACCAAAAAAACAGTCCTGAGGGGTTTTCTCCAGTGATACTTATTTCCAGCGTGATTACCTCTCCGCTTTGACTGATGGCAAATACCAGTGGCAGCATGAGGCAGTTGACAAGGATTACACCCTTTAGCAGCAATATGGACCTCAGTCCTTAGGTCAGGTAGAGCAGTTTCGAAAACATGAATGTAAGCACAAAAAGCAGTAGGTGAAAAGAAGAGGGAGAACCATAATATCCACCCAGACAGTACCTATCTTTCAAGGAATTCACAATAAAGAACTTGATGTGTTTTGTACAGATTTGGATTCAGTAAATTCAGCTTCGACCAAAATCCATTTTTGACTAATACTCATTTTTGGTTCACATTCATTTCATTGGAAATCAAAGCTGTCTAGGCTAATCTGCAAATTTCTATCAGAGATGTATCAAAACTTTTATTTGTGAAATCACTGATCCCATCTCTCTTCATATTAAGCTCAGTTATCTTTCAGATTTTAACCCAAACATCACTATGAGTCATTATTCTGCACCTAATTTATTTGTTAAAATTCTCTTCTTCTTCAGCCTAAGATAATGATGTGGAAGAGTAAGACTACATTCCAGCTGACGCCTGTAAAGACATCAAACGTATGTGTTTGTGCTTTAAAGGCATCTCTTCTGCTTGACAAAAAAATACTACGCCAGCCATAGTTTATTCCAGCTTTGTCAGAAACCTTTTTCAAAAGAGCCCTTCACAATGAAATCTCTAAGGCAAGGAGGTGGGAAAACAGTTTTGTAGTCAAAAGACTCACAACACTATGTGTAAAGGGCAGAAAAAAGCTGTAAGGGAAAAAGTGAATCAGTACTTTGCTCCAACTCTCTTGAAGCTTTCAGCTGATGTTCTAAATTATGGCCATTCAATTTATATTAAAGAACACTTTCGATCATAATAAATACACACATATGGCTATTCATGTATTTTTCAAGTGGTTTAGAAGAGTACTCATTGTTAACACACTAACTTCTGGGCAATTAAATATAATGTATTCATCATTCATTATCTGCAACTTTTTCTGATCTTGTTCTCAGACAACTGTTCTATCCTTCCTGGAAATGAGAAACTGAGTTTTCAGTCTCTCTCTAGCCTTACAGTGAGTAGGAAAATGGCTCATGCTCCTGACAACAGCAGGGACAGCAGTGACAGCCTGTGTTCCACTCCATGCTCAACACGCTACACGTATTGAGCCATACAGCAAAGCCATGTATCCATTGCTCTGCTGCTCAAAGAGAGATAAGAGTGTCCATTAAAACAGTTTAATGTTTCCTTCACACTAATTAACTACCTAATGAAGATTATAGAAAAGACAAAGCTAGATTCTTCTTGAATGTGCACAGCAAAAGGATGAGGGGTAGTAGGCAAAAATTCACAAAGCTACTGGATATCCACCTGAGTAACTGGATCTGTAATAGTTGGCCCTGCTTTGACCTAGGGATTGAACTAGATACTAAGCCTAAATTCTCTGTCCTTGCAGACAGCCATTTTGGTACCCAAAACAGCAGGAAAACATGCTCAGTGCAGACTGATGTGCTGAGACAGTGTCCAAAGAAACAATTCTTCCTCTCTTGCTGAAGTGTTCTTTGGTACACACTCATATCTGGGGTGAAAAGGATCCCACAACTACAAAATAAGAAATACAAGTAAAGGCAAATACTTGCCTTTATACTCTTTTAAAAATAGTTTTAAAAGAAATCAAGTTTCTACATAGGCAAAAGTAGTTTTCAGGCAAAATTCTTCCCTGAAGAGATAGGATAGTTGCAAACTGCTGCCATATGAAAGGACTCCACAAAACAACATTGGTTCCAGTGCACAAGGGTTTCATTATCAAAAAAGCCCTGAGGTAAATTCGTAGCAACTTAACTCAAAAGGTTGCAGATTGTCTTTCCCACTCCTAGCAAGATCATGGTTAGCCAGTTAGCAAAGATTAATTAAAAATATCTAGCATAATTATTTTCAAAAGGGCCACCTGCAGAATCTAAAAAAGCCCAAAGCTGCATTTGCTCCATTTCTAAAAACAAGCAATAAAAAAAGACTGTCCATAATGCAGCAACACACATTACAACATTCTCAGTCTCTGATTTGATATTTTCTGCTGTCTCTCCTATCAAATATACTACAAAACTTGAGCCTGACATCTCAAAAATATTACAGACGATGCTGTATTGTGAAGGCAAGAAACCTGTAGGTATAATATTATATACAGACTAAAAAAAAAAAATATATGAAGGCAATAGAGAAAAAATTTGCAATAGCAGCTAAATTGCCATTTGCTGCTGCAAACAGTAATTATATTCACTAAAAACTTACAGGAATTCTACTAGCAAAACAGTGCAAATACTACATTGATACTGGAACAGTAAACTATTTACTACAGAAAAAGAGTGAAATTCCTCACCAATTTCCAACTGGAAAGCAAATACTGATACCTGGAGTACTGTGTTCAGGCTTGGGGCTCCCAGCACAGGAAGGATGCAGAGTTGTAGGAGTGAGCCCAGAGGAGGGCTACAAATCATAGAGTGGGTTGGAAGGCACTGGTTCATCTAGTTCAAGCTCCCCTGCTACAGGCAGGGATGCCTCCCACTAGACTACATTGCTCAAAGCCCCATCCAGCCAGATCACAAAGGGGCTGGAGCACCTGTACTATGAAAAAGGGTTGAGGGAGCTGGGCTTGTTTAGTTTGGAGAAGATAAGGCTATTAGGAGACCTCACTCCAGCCTTCCAGTATTTTAAAGGAGCTCACAAGCAGGAGGAAGCCTGACTTTTACGTGGTCTAATAGTGATAGAACAAGGGGGAGTCACTTTAAATTAAAAAGGGAAAAAAATAGGTTAGATGTTAGGAAGAAATTCTTAACTCAGAGAATAATGAGGCACTGGCACACACTGCCCAAGGAAGTTGTGAATATACCATCCATGGAAGCATTCAGGGCCAGGTTGGATGGGGCCCTGGGCAGCCTGATCCTAGTGAGTGGCAGCCCTGCCCATGGCAGGAGGTTGGACCTAGATGATCTTCATCATTCCTTCCAAAGCCATTCTATGACTCTATTATAAAGAAATAACCAAGAGTTGTGGGAAGTGCAGGAAATAATTGCTTCATACATAAGATAGAGTTAGTGTGTACAAACAACATACATTTTTTTGTTTTTCTTACAATAGTTGTGCACAGTTATAAGCATTCTGTTCTTGTATGGGTAAAGTCTCTCTCAATTTACATTTAATAGGTTTCATCTTAAGTTACAGTTGTTAGATATTATTGAATTGCTAGGACAGAAATTCATTACCTTGTAAACTGATCAATACTTTTAATTAATGGACAAGTACTTCTTAGCCAATATTAGGTGATTAAATATTCTGACCTAAAAGTTAAGTCTAATACAGCAGATTAAATAAATAAGATGTCACTGTGTTAAACTGATATCAAAAACAACTGCAGTTTTGGTACTCTGCTACATCAACAGGTTCTTCTACCCTAAGAGTGAATGGTAAGTACAGGAAGTATGGGATGTTTCCCACTTCCTTAAGTGAGGCTGCCCCTCTTTCCAGAGAGCTGCCGGAGCAAACCAGAACTGTACAGTTTCAAGTCAGTGATTCCTGAAAGGGGGTAAGTTTTTGTGTGAGCATGAAACAAACCTTTATATTATCTACTAGTTTTGTTTGTGCTTCTCACTGGGAGGTGGTGTTCTTCAAACACACATAGGTATCACTAGAAAGACCAGACTGCCTGGGAAGTCAAGCAAGGACTTAAGCAACCCATGGAAGGTCCAACAATTCCTATGTCTCAATAATGCTAAAGCACTGGGTTATGCTGTTCACAGCAAACAGAGCGAGATGAGATCAGGACAAGCAGCTGAAGGGAGAAAAGACAGTGAGTGAAGATGTAAAAAGCTTCTTCATCTGTCAATTGGTTTTCATGTCCCAGCATTTTCATCAACGCTTTATGTTACTGAAATTTTGTTGAAAGAAATTAACCAAAACTGAATTGGAGATGAATGCTACAATTACACAGGACTGAAAAGCTCTCAGGAATGCCAGCAACAGAGAAGGCTATTTAAGCAGCCAGAATCAGAAATCAGATTAATATGATTCTACCTTTTTTGTTTCCTGCGTGTGAAAATATGGTTTGCATTATTTCTAGTCATAAAACATTTAGCATTTCTCCAAACTGCAGTATATTACAATTTGAATTTCGAAATTGGAAAAAGAAAATAATATTTTTTAAAAGTGCAGCTTAAAAACAAGAGGCTTCAATTTCCCTTGCAGCACATAAGCATTTTTTCACAAAAATACTACTGAATGTTCAACTATCTTCTTAAAATTTATTGTTGAAAATCTGAAAATTATGTTTAGGCACTCACATGCAAATACTAGATTTCAGTCCAGATTTATGCGATGGCTTGAATACATTTTTAATTGCTAACTTACTACTAATGCTCCTGTAACATCATTAACCTTCTTAAGATTTAAAACCCATCATAAACATTTATGAAATTCACTTCCCAAGATCACGCCAGGGAGGTTTAAAAACACATTAGCATACAAGTACAACAACAAGGGCAAAACATGTCATAAAACTATCAAAAACATATCAAATATGGACAGTTAAGCTTATTAGCACTTAAAGATTGCAAATAAATGTGCATAAATTCTCAGGGTAACATTACATACAATATAATGCATACCACCCTGCTACATCAGCACTGAACAGAAAGAACACAACAGGAAAGCAGACAACTGCTTTTCTCCAAATTCACACAGTACTCATTTTTGCCTGTACAATATACATGAATTTTTCTAAATGAATGGGTTATGAAGAGTTTGGTACATCTTTGTTGCAGACAAATGCAAATATTGAAAATAATTCAAAAGCTGTAAATCCAGTGATAATTCTCTCCAAAAATATTTTAGACTGTCACCTGTTTTGTTCAGTTCTTTTTGTAGATTATGGCTGCTTTTTACCAAGCACTTACAGATATTACTGCCACACAAATACTTAGTTAATCCTATCTTTGTACTTTACAGATGGCAGGAACAATGTTTAATGTTATGATCTGTTAAAACTACTTATATTTAATCTCAATGCAATATTATCATCTACTACAGCATATTTATTTTTAGATTTATATCTGTCTATATTAATTGTACTCAATTGCAAACTGCCACTCAAACTGAAAATTTAACAGCCTCTTTATCATATAGTACATTTTTTCTGAATGTGTCAAGATTCAATAAATGCTGTACTTCACAAAAGAAATGCACTTCCTCACATTGTCAAAATACAGGAAGTAGCCCAGAAAATCCTCTACCAACACACATCATAATTGTGATAATACTTAGACATCTGATGTCTTATATCCATTTATTAATGCATTTGCCTAATGCATATTTAGAATTCAAGTAAGGTACCTTATCTCCATCTGTATTGCCTGTATCTACTGGGTTACCATGACCTCGATATAAAACACTGATTGTCGCCCTCTACTTTGCCATAACAAGGGTCTGAATTGCAGCACTGCAGGAAGAATGGAGCATTGCAGGAGCAGGTCCACAAAGATGATCAAAGCACCTCTACTATGAAGAAAGACTGAGGGAGCTGGGCTTGTTTAGCTTGGAGGGGACGAGCTCTGAGCAGACCTCACTGCAGCCTTCCAGTACTCAAAGGGTGCTTATAAGCAGGAGGGAGCCCAATTTTTTTTTACCAGTCTAATAGTGACAGAACAAGGGGGAATAGCTTTAAACTAAAAAGGGAAAAATTAGGTTAGATGTTACTAAGAAATTCTTAACTCAGAGAGTGGTGAGGCACTGGCACAGGTTGCCCAAAGAATCTGTAGATGTTCCTTCCATGGAGGCCAGATTGAACGGGGCCCTGAACATCCTGATCTAGTGGGTGGCAACCCTGCCATGGCAGGAGGGCTGCAAGTGGATGCTCTTAGGTCCCATCCAACCTAAGTCGTTCTATGATTCTGTGAATACTCAGAAGAATACATACTGTTTTAAAAGGAGTCATAAGTTAAAATTGTTACGGTACCTAAAACCTACAGCAGCCAGTGCTGCAGCTAAAAAAAAATTGTTTAACAAAACTAATTCTAGAATAGTTATGTGGCACATATGGTCTTTAGTACAGCAGTCTAGAAACCTAGGCTTTGTAATGTCAAAGTGACACTTCCTGTTTTACACAAATTCATTTCAACTTCCTTACCTTATTTACTTCCATGATTTCCCTTCTCTCTTCACTAGCAAAACGAAGCTGACTAGCAGCACCACGATCATCATGCTTGGAGCCATCTTCTTCAACATATGGAATAAGTTGCTAAGAAGACAAAAAAGGTCAGCTTTTAAAAAGAAGAAAAAAGGAAAAAAAACCTGAAAAGGGGAGGTACTAACAGTTTCCTTCAAAGGTTCAAACATCCTGAACAGAAAGAAGTGCAGACAGGCATACTTCATCACCTCAAAACCAACAGCCTCACAATGGCCTCAGTCAGTTCTGTGCTTCAAAAAGATACGACAGCACGTATTTTCACACCTAGACTGCAGGCAGAGCTCAGTATTAACATTTTAAGAGGTCAATCACAGGTAACCTTGGATTTTTGAACTCTATAGACTGTGATTTTAAAGCTTACTACTCCACTTATGAAATAACACAAACACGAAGTTATCATCATTATCAAGTATTTTAGTGATGTCCCAAACATAATTTATGACAGACTTTACACATGGAGATTAAATACTTGGTTAATACTCTAATTATGACTTTCTATTTTATTGGTTTTCTGTTTGGCTGTACTTAAGATCAGGCCCACAGTTATCTAATAGGAATTTCTCCATAGGGATTTTCCACTGTAATCTCCTCAAGCACATAATGCACTGCATTTTTTCGTAAGCTTTTGAGAAGTCAAGATCTTCCGTAAAGAGTTTCTAAATGAATATCAGTATGTTCTTGATCAAAAAAATTTTTTTAAAGACTCAGGAAATGTACTAGCTACAAAACACATACATGCATTGTGCCAAACTCTTCCAAAGTAACACCTTGTTCAAAAATAGTTATAACGTACTTACAATTTAAACATCACATGCACACATGGAGTCTGTTGAATTTTCTGTCCTTAACTGAGAAAAGCTAAAGCTGGTAGCAAAAGTACAACCTTGATCAAATCTACATCCTACAGACAAATGAAATATTAGTAAGTGATGCAAATGAGCAAGACAGTTCAAAAGTCAGGGAACAGGTTGCTGATAGAATGCATATTAACTTGTTACTTAGGTTGTGGTGTAATACGAAGCATTCAGCAGCAACCTTCAGCATTCTGCTGAAAACTCTGACTTAGCTCTGAAAATCATATTTTCTTCCACGTACGCTTTTGGAGGCCACGCTCATTAAACTTATTGAAATGGACAAAGAATGCCGTGTTACCCTCTGCCATGTAAAGCAAAATAGCATAGCTATTAAACACTCTTGGAAAAAGCTCCTCCTCTTTCTTAAGGAAAAATAACGCCCCTGAAATAGAATGCCTCCTTTGAAAACCTCCCATCTGTAAGAAAAGCTCTGAATTCAAATAAAGAACTACACCTAACACACAAATAAAGCAGTTCTCTCTAGTGAGAGAATTCTGTAACTGTATCTCCTTCACAACAATCTTACAGCTTATTATGTTGGCTAAAAGGAAGTTGATAAGATCACCTATTAAACTAGCAGTACACATTAATGAAAGAAATATAATATTTTTATACTGTTAGTAGACACTAACTTAATTGATGGAAGGTAATGACACAATTTCTTGCCATAAACAAGAAGCAAACAGGAAAAAAGAGACAGAACAACAAAGTGGTTTTGGTAGCGCAAGTTAAGAAAGGTGTAACATCAACCTAAATTTTATAGCCTGGGAATTCAACGGACTCACCTTGGGGTTTCTGCCTTAAGTGGCAGCAAACTAACAAACTGCTGCACACCCTTTGTAATACAGCAGATAACATGCAGATAAATCTATCCCAATGCTATCTCATAGAAAGTAAGGAGTTACCTTCCTAATCTTAAAATAACCACTGAAGGGGGTATCTAACTAAGCATATACTACTGACTACTCAGAATAAAGTACAATGACAACACTGTCACTGATTAGCAGCAGTGATTTTCAAAATCACTTCCCAGTGTCAGGGAAGAAGACAGGCTGAGGAGCTATGGATGTATATATATTTTAAAAGCAACAAAATCTAAGCAAAAATTGAAGTATTTAAGACAAGTGGATCGGTGACAATGGAATTGCACATGTTTTCAGACATCAGTCATGTTCTTGCAGCCCAGAAAGCCAACCATGTCCCAGGCTACGAAAAAAGAAGCATGGCCAGCAGGGCAAGGGAGGTGATCCTGCCCTTCTGCTCCGCACTGGTGAGGTCTCACCTGCATCCAGATGAGGAATCCTCAGCCCAGGAGAGATGTGGACTTGTTGGAGTGCATCCTGAGGAGGGCCACAAAAATGATTCAAGGGATGGAACACCTCTCCTATGAGGACAGGCTGAGAGAGCTGGGGCTGGAGAAGAGAAGGCTCTGGGAAGACCTGAAAGCAGCCTTTCAGTACCTAAAGAGCAGCTACAGGAAAGAAGAGGACAGACTCTGAAGCAGGGTCTGTGGTGACAGAAGAAGGGGAAACGACTTCAAGCTTAAAGAGGGGAGATTTAAGTTAGATATACAGAAAAAATTCTTTTTACAGTGAGGGTGATAAGGAACTGGAACAGGTTGCCCAGAGATATGGTAGATGCCCCATTCCTGGAGACATTCAAGGTGAAGCTGGATCAGGACTGGGCAACCTGGCCTGGCTGTAGATGTCCCTGTTCACTGCAAGGGAGCTGGACTACATGGCCCTTAGAGGTCCGTTCCAACTCTAAGGATTCTATGATTTTATGAATTACTACAGAATTAGATCATGAGCCACAGAATAACTGCCTGTCTTGTTCAGTGCAGTATCATTAAGAAGGCTAATAATTGGCAGTAAGGAGGGAAGAGCAGTGTACATACATTCCACTAATGACTTAGAAACCGGGAGTCAGTTGAGTAGAAGAAAAAAGCCATTAAGTAATTTGACTGTTTAAAAAAGAAGTTTGTCTATATTCGTTAAAGATAAGGTTAGAATGTCAAGTCATTTAACAATATGATTGAGAATATCAGTGAAAATTTGAAATAAGAATTTAAGAAACATAATAAGAGAAATGATGTGACACTTTCATTCACCCTGACACGAGGAAAGTGAGCATTCTGTCAACTTCACAGCAACAAATACTAAGTCACTAAAAGGAAAAAGAATTGCAACTACTGCAATTGTTTCACCACAGACTTACTCCACTAAAACAACCTCTTAAAAGAAAAACTTCCCCTGACCCTTTTTTTCCCCTAGAGGAAAAAAACTGGTGAGTGCACAAAGCCTGAGGTAAACAGCTAGGATTTTAAACGAAGTCTGACCTGTAATTTGTAGATATAAAAAGATACTCACTTCTATGGGAATAGGATCGAGTCCAGCACAGTTTTCATTACATTTGTCATAGACCAATCTCAGTTTTCTGAAGAGTATTGATAGCTGACGGAGATGCTCCTGTAGTTTTCCCAGTCTGTCTTGATACGTTCCAGTATGATAAGTTACACCATTTGGCAACTTCAGAGAACCAAAACACAAAAGAGTTATAAATATTATTTTCTCTTATAGGAAATAAAAAAATCTAAGACAAATGAGAGATTTTTTGTGCATTCTACAATAAGACCATCACAATATTCTCACAGTCTGAAATTTCTATTTTCTTTATCTGTAAAAATCTGAATCTTATTTGCCCATCTCACGTGCCAAATCACTGCTCTCAAACAGCTTCATGTCTTCCACATCCTGGTCATTATAGACCACTGTAACTTCCAGTGAATGCCTTAATCCATGCTTAAGCATGGCTGCTGTTGCAATCTGAGAAACTTTCTGCCCGAACCCAGGTCACATTTCAGACAATCAATGCGAATTCAAAGTAATACTCTGTGTATCTACATAAAATAATTACAGAAGGAAATTTCAGGAGACATGAAAATACAGGGAAAAAGGGAACTGGAGTGATTACTTGCATGTTTGTCTCTGAAGTTGAGAGCATGCTGTCAACAGAGAAATATGAAAGAAGTTTGTACATTCTCTTCAGTACATAATCAAGAGGATTCTGTCCACTTTAATAATGAACAGAATGTCACAACATTTTAAGTGGAAAATACTACAGAAGAATGATATCACTGATCAATGACAACTCCTTTAAAATTACTCCATAGAGGTTAACAAAAACAGAGAAACATAAACTTCATATAAATACACTTCGCTATTCACTAAACAGTTATCTTCCCCTTATCTCCAAATTGGAGGATGTGGATTTGATGGGTGGACCACTCAGTGCATAAAAAAACTGGTTGAAAGGCCGCAGACAGAGGGTGGTCATCAATGCTCTATGTCCAGGTGGAGGCTGGTAACGAGCGGCATCCCCCAGGGGTCTGTCTTGGGACCAGTGCTCTCTAATATCTTTATCAATGACATTGATGACAGAATCAAGTGCACCCTCTGCAAGTTTGCTGACAACACCAAGCTGAGTGGTGCAGTGGACACAGTAGAAGGAAGGAATGACATTCAGAGGGACCTCAACAGGCTGGAAAGCTGGGCTCAGGTGAACCTGATGAGGTTCAACACCGCAAAGTGCAAAGTTTTGCACTTGGGCCGGAAGAATCCCAGGCATCCATACAGACTGGAAGGAGAGGTCCTTGAGAGCAGCCCTGAGGAGAAGGACCTGGGGGGTCCTGATGGATGAAAAACTCAACATGAGCCAGCCGTGTGCTCTTGCAGCTCGGAAGGCAAATGGTATCCTGGGCTCCATCAGAAGAGGGGTGGCCAGCAGGGACAGGGAGGTGATTGTCCCCCTCTACTCGGCTCTTGTGAGGCCCCATCTGGAGTACTGTGTCCAAGTCTGGAGCCCCCAGTACAAGAAAGACAGGGAGCTGTTGGAGAGGGTCCAGAGGAGAGCCACAAAGATGATCAGGGGACTGGAGCACCTCCCCTATGAAGACAGGCTGAGGGAGCTGGGCTTGTTCAACCTGGAGGAGAGAACGCTGCGGGGTGACCTCATTGCAGCCTTTCAGTACCTAAAGGGAGCCTTAAAACAGGAGGGGAGTCAACTCTTTGAAAGGGTAGATAACTGCAGGACAAGGGGAAATGGTTTTAAGTTGAGGGAAGGGAGATTTAGGTTGGACATCAGGGGGAAGTTCTTTACAGAGAGAGTGGTGAGGTGCTGGAACAGGCTGCCCAGAGAGGTTATGGATGCCCCGTCCCTGGAGGTGTTCAAGGCCAGACTGGATGGGGCCCTGGGCAGCCTGGTCTAGTATTGAATGTGGAGGTTGATGGCCCTGCCCGTGGCAGGGGGGTTGGAGATTCATGATCCTTGAGGTCCCTTCCAACCCTGGCCATTTTGTGATTCTGTGATTAATATATTTCTGTGAAACAGTCATTAAGTACATTTGGAATATATTTACTGTGGTAGAAATGACAATTTAGCATTTGTGAATGTTCTCCATGTTTACTAAATACACAGGAACAGCCAAATGTATTCAGAGTTGTATATGTGTCTCCAACCAATCCCTTTTTCAAGACAGTTTAGCCTATTCATGTATTTAAATGCCCCAAACTATCTTTGTGTGCACACAATCACTTAGTAGTAAAAACACGAGAAGGGAACTGATGATCACCAAATTATAAATAAAAAAGTTTTCTCACCTGCATGTTCCTCAGTAACTGGAAGATTTCCATGGTTCGAAACACAATGTCCTGCACGGTCTCCTGGCCGATACGGCACAGAGATGCTGTATTGACCTCCCTAGCTGCCTGAGCCTGTGTTCCTGAGAATGCACCGGGAGGCATCCCCGCCCCGGCCAGAGGTGGGGTTGACATCTCTGGATGCCAACGGGTCCCACTGAAACAACCTGCACACAGATAAGACAACGATGAAGTATTTGTCTGAGACTATTCTAACCAACAAACTTCTTACCGTGGCTATACTTCCTCTGCTCAACAGGTCGTCTTGTCTGAGACAAAACCACTCAACAAATATTAGAGGGCTCTGTGACATCCCTTGGCTTCGGACAGGGCTCCTTAAATCATCAAGGTTTTCCGGGCCTCACGGAGCTGCACGCGGGGTGCTGCCCCAGTGCTACATGGCGATACGCAGGGCTGCCCGATTTCACACGCGCAGCTCTCGGCTCTCCCGCCCCGCCACCCAAACCGCAGCTTGCGGGCCGCTGTCCTGGCATCGCTCGGCGGCTACAGGCCCGTACTGGACAAGCAGGTCAGCCAGCGACCGCCCAGGCGGTACTCGAGGAACCGCGCGGGCGGATCGCGACATACGCAGCGTTAAGGCCGCCCTCGGCGCCGAGCGGCGACCGTTACTCACAGGACCGGAGAAAGCCGGGGCGCCGCGTCGCCGTGGAAACGCAGAGGCGGAAGCAGTGTGCGGCGCCCGGAAGAGCGGGCCACACGAGGCGGAAGTGACGTCACGGCAGCGGGGCGGGGCTGGCTGGCTGCGGCTGCTGCTCTGGCATTGGGCAGGTGGCTGAGGCTGGGCGGGTTCACGCTTGTGGCGCAGGTTTTGTATCGAAGGGGAGCGGCTGGGCAAACTGTTTTTGGCTGGTCACGTTGGGAAATTGCTGGTTACGTACTATCTGTTTATAGGTGTACCACTGCACTTCTTGTGTAGGTATATTTTCACCCGCATAGAAACGCCTTCTGGTTTCACAGTATTTGAATGCATATAAGTTGCTTCTCTGTTGTCTCCCTGGCTGCTTAGGCTATGCTAAGGTAGTTCATAGAATCGTAGAATCGTTTGAGTTGGAAGGGAGCCTTAAAGCCAATTAGTGCAGCTCCCCTGCTATGAGCAGGGACGCCTACAGCTCCATCAGGTGCTCAGAGTGCAGCCCAGTTTGTCTCCAGGGATGGAGCGTCTGCCACCTCTCCGTGCAACCTGTCCCAGTGTCTCACCACACTTGTCGTAACAACCTTCCTCCTTATATCCGATTAAAATCTCACATCTTTTAGGTTGAAACTAATTTTCCTTTTTTCTATCAAAACAAGTAGTTGGTGCTGTTTCAAAGCACAAACAGTGATTCCTGTGCAATGAAAAATAAACTCCATCTAAAAGACATAGGGCAAAGTTTGTGAGGGCTGGTAGGTATTCAGTAATCACTGCACTACACGGTGTTTATTGTCTGTCTTTATAATTGAAAGTAAATTTCTTCACAAGCAAAAAATGGGGTCAAAGTTTGTCTTTTTGCATTAATGTCTTACCTAAAACTCTGGTTTTGGTGATAAGAACCTGAAATGCAGAAGAGAGCATTTAAAGTAGTTGTACTGTAGTAGCTGTAATAAAAATGATGTTATGAATGATCTTTTGTACAAAATGCATTGCATTTGTAGTGCTGTAAAAAAAAAAAAAAAAAAAAAAAAAAAAAAAAAACAAACAATAAAAAGCCAGAAATGACTCATAATGTACCACCCTTGTTTAAGAAAGAAGGAACATTCAGGGACAGAACTGTACAATGTCAGAGACATTTTTCTGCAGAAAGCATTTCTTTTTCCTTCAGATTAATGAGGGGAAACATCACCCCATTGCTTAAACTGAAGTTTTTGTTGCCTGGCTACATTCTCTTTGTAGCATGCTCTTTTAGCCAAGGCACAATGTAAATAATTATGAAGTATTTTAACAAAATTTTAACATAAAAGAAAAACAACAACAACAACAACAACAAAAGGAGTGTCTTAAACTGACTGAAAAAAAAAATTGCTCATAAAAATGAGAGGGAGATATTTTCAGACAGCAAAAGAATATCCCACTGTGTCTGGCTAGACAACGCATGGGAAAAGCAGCCCCCAGAGAATTTCTAAGGGCTTATGTGAAGGCTTGCATCTCAGTTTACTGTACATTAAGGAAATGATGCAAGAACTGTTCAAGAGCTGAGCACAAAGGATAATGTTTTCCTTTTTTGATTGTGTGCCCAAGAGCTCTGTTCACACTGCTTAACTTGCTGCTCCAAATCCAATGGCATCTTAAGTTCCAGAGAGTAATGAGCGATTCAGACCACCTACTGTTCAGTGCTGCCAGACACAGGCTCCGTGTACAGTCAAATACTAAAGTATATGACTGCTACTTGCAGTAGGCAGTTGAAATGTAGAGCCAAGTCTGCATGCAAAGAGTGCTGAAGAATGTTGCTAGGGGACCTTCACGTTCTTCACTGCCGATCTATGGAGCCATCTAAGTCTGATTTTTCACTACTAGAAGGAATCTCCTTTCAGATAAGGAATGTTTTTATGGTTGGATGAGAAAAAGATGAATATACATTTTGCTTTCTAAAAAAATCAGTTAAGCTGTCTTTGTGTGTCTTCAGTTTGGTCTTGGACCAAACTACTTTCATCTGGAAGGTGTCCAAATCAGACAGCTCATCTTTCACATCCGTTTCAGTTTCTGTGGCATCAGTTCAACCAGTGTCTTAGGATGCTGCCAACTACTACACAGTATCAAGTCCTTGTTTTCTCTCTTCCTACACAGGGTTGTAGAGAAGCTAACAAAAAACTAACAGAGAGCATGCATCTACACAGGATCTTCTAGTCCTCTGAAGTTTAAACCAAATTTCTAATTAGAACTTTTTGAACAGTAACTAGTTCAGACGTTATCATTTTCAAAGTAATAATAAGTTATGATACTGTAGTGTTTTAAGAGATTCTAACTCAAACCATGAGTAACTACAAAGTTTGTGCGGCTGTGTTTTATCAACAAAGCAAAAATACTCAATAGAGAGGTAAGAGAATATTTTGTTTTCTTTCAATTTTCTGTAAAACAGTCAATGCGCTTGCAAGGCAGCATGAATCATTCTATTTAAAAGTAAACAGAAGTATTGGAATTCGTGGATCATCATTTGTTTTGCTTGTGTAAAGAAAAGTATGCTCACTCTCAGGTTCCCCTCGTGGTATTTCTTAGCAGCAGTGCTTTGATACCGCTTCCAGAGTGACAGATGGGCTTTGGGGAAAAGTGTTAACCAGGAAAGGACTTTCATTCTCAGTCCTGTCCCATTCTGTGTTTATGTGTGGATTCAAGAAAAAATAATGGGACTTTCTGGAACCTTAGCCAACAATAAACAGGCAAGGCACAATTTTATTGTTACCAAGCTGTGATAGATAACAGCACAGCACATAAATTTTTTAGTGTGTTTGTGGCCAACACAGATAGTAAAACTGGGTGGAGTTTAATTCAACAAAGATTGCATTTATAGGACAAAGGAAGCATTTAAGGACTGTGATTAGATGAGATGGATTGTGGGGTTTTTGTGTGTCATGTGGGCTTGGAGTGTTGGTTGTTTTTCCCATAGTGTTGTTTTCCCCAGCCAAACAAGCATCTCTATCAACTGTGAAGGCAACAGCTTAGAGGGAACCAGGACCATCCGTGATAGTGCTAGACTGAATGAGATAAATCACATCAGCTGGAAGTCCAAAGCATCAGAGCACAGGGTGTAATCCATGACTGTCTGATAGAGGATCGATACAGCAGTTATCTGGATGGAGGAGAAGCTGTGGATCGAGCAGTTCTAACAACTCTGCCATTGTGTGATTCTATCGTGCAACTCTTTGGTGCTGCGGATGGTAAAAGGACTGGAAGAGATCAATGTGGAAGCCTCCCTGCTTGCTTCATTTCTCCTTCATCCTCCATAGTATCCTGTGTGTTCATGGAAGCAACTTCAATGAACAAGTTTATCTGTATTTGCCCTGTGTTGATGGTGCATTCTGCTGAGGGTGAGAGATGCAGGCAGTAACCAAATTCAGTGCTTTGCCATAGCCAAGCCTCTGCATGTTCACAGAGTACACAGAATGATTTGTAAAACTGAATTTCAGAAAGGCCTTATGATGTTCCCTTAGGTATCGTCAGGACCTGCATTACCTGCATAACTAAGTCACATCCATTTCCCACACTATGAAAACATGGTAAATTTTACGAGCTTTGTCAGATTATAGCTGTCAGGTAAGTGTGATAGTTCAGTGTACATTTGGTGAGCTTAACAGATGATGTAGCTTGCTTTCTTTTTGTCCTTTTGTAGCAGGTACTACAGTTCCATTTCTTGATCCTAGCAGGTTCATTACATCATATATTCTCTACCTCTTCAAAGTTTTCTTTTTGACTTTCACTTCAGAAATATCATCTTTGGTCTATTTCATGCTTCTTTTAACACTTGTAATCATGCCACAAAAAGTCAGAAAGTGTTTATATTGGTCGTTCACAGCACCTAAGAACTAGTTTCATCTTCCAGTTTTGGTATGAAGAATGTTTACATGGTAGACCATTATGCCCAGTAGTCGGTATTATCAGAGAATCATAGAATCATAGAATCAGTCACAGAATCATAGAATGGCCTGGGTTGAAAAGGGCCACAATGATCATCTAGTTTCAACCCCCCTGCTATGTGCAGGGTCGCCAATCACCAGACCAGGCTGCCCAAAGCAACATCCAACCTGGCCCTGAATGCCTCCAGGGATGGGGCATCCACAACCTCTCTGGGCAACCTGTTCCAGGGTGTCACCACCCTCTGAGTGAGAAACGTCCTCCTAATATCTAACCTAAACCTCCCCTCTCAGTTTAAGACCATTCCTATTTAAGACCTTGTCCTATCACTATCCACCCTTGGAAACAGTTGTATTCTCAGTGTGATAGTGACGGAAGAGTAAAGAAAGGATTAAAAGGAAGTGCCCGTTTATTTTGCAACCATTCAGTTGCTTGTCTTTGAAGAGACATCTTGGATTCCCAACATAATCTCAATATTGTGACCCAAACCCACCAGCAGGCCTATCCTGTCTCCTTTGGTCTCTCTCTATCCAGCTCCTCTTCCACAGCCTATAGCTATATCGGTGCTCTAAATGCTAACACTGCGATGTATGCAAGCACAACAGCATCATTTTTTTTTTTCTTTTGCCTTGTGATAGACATTCAGATATTTTCCCTGGTACTATTTTTTCCTGAGCAAATGGTATCTTGTGGGACTAACTGTTTGGACAAGGAGTTTTTCCAAATTGCGGTTTATATAAACTGTGTGTCTTCATCAGCCAGATGTGCATTAATGATGCCTGTGGTTGGATTTTCAGCATGCTTGTCTGATGGCTTCTCCTGGGGCTTGCACAAAAATGGCTTGGAAATGGAACATTTGCAAAGAAGCAGATGCTGGCAAAAGAAAGCATTACAATGAGATGTAAAATATGTGCACTGTAATTTATACAGGCAACTAGCTTCTGGGAAACTTGACCTCTGTCCAGCAGAGGACAGAAACCTATCCAAAGAGACCCCTGAAGCAGTGAGTGGTACCCAGTGGGACAGAGGTGGAGGGACTAATTATATTTTTGCAGCTGTTACACCAATGCTGGAAGTATGTTGGTGACAAATGACTTTGTGGTGGACAGCACAGTAGTTAATATAGGAGAAAAGCTAGTGTACACTGTG